AAAAAAATTTAATTTACATGTAAAATATTTTATTACATAAATGTGTAATTGAAAATAATCATATAACAATTTTTTTTTTTTTAAATAATGGACACCAAACATGAGCGTAACATTTTATTTTTCAATTTTTATGACCTCTTTTCTTTTTGTACTTCCATTTTCGAGGTTCGTGCTTTGATTTTGCCAGTCTATCCAAACTTCGAGAGATTGCTATGGACATATCATTCTTTGCTATGCATGAGTAATGAAATGTAGACGTCAAATTGATTGAAACGAGGAACAAAATCCAACAGAAATTAAAGGGATAATTGCAGCAAAAGTCCAAAACTTTGAAATACTAGCATATTTTTTCCAAACATTTGATTTGTTGCAGCTGTTACTCCTAACATTTTCAAATGTTATAGGTGAGGCCCTTTTGGATGGTTTCCGTCAAAAATGCCGTCGATTGACCCAAAAAATTAAAGCCTCGCCATTTTTGTCCAATTAAATGAGGGTAAAATAGTAACTTTATAATATAACCATATAAAATATAATTAAAAAAATCAAAAAAGGAAAAGAAAAACTTAAACTTTATTCCCCTTCTTCTCCAACCCAACCCAACCATACCATATTCTCATGAGTAATGCTATTCATCTCTATTGGGGATGAAAACACAATTTACGTGGCATCAATGTGGCACTAAATAATAGGTAAAATTAAATAAGTCATTTAATTTCACATTTCATTTAACCTATCATATAAAACCATATAGACTGTATTTTGATCCCCACTGGGGATGAACATCATTACTCTATTCTCATACCATGAATACGCTCACACAGAGGAAGCTTCACCTTTTTGACTCCACCCGACTTGTTGGAATTGCACACAGTTTTTCTAAATTCTTTGATTCTTTCAAATTTTAATTAGTTGAACTGAATTGAATTGATATATGGTGACAAAACCAACACTTACTCCGAATAAGCAGACCCAAAATCTGACAATTGAACCAAAAAAACGAATCGAAGAGATTTTATCATATCCAATTTTGTTGTCGGATAGGGTTGATGAAGCTGTAAAGGAGGCGGACTCGTTCAAGTTCGAGTGCTTGGAGGTGGGCAAGAAAGTGGGCAATCTTTGTCTAATGCTACGTGTAGCCGTGTGTCTTTCCACATCCACCACCCCTGGTGTTTCCTTCTACGATAGCCCCCTCCGCCGTATAGCCGTCGAGGTGTCGAAAAATCTTGAAAAGTCACTGGCCCTGCTCAAGAAGTGCAAGCAGTGGAGCGTGCTCCGACGTGTGGTTACATTGTTTGGCATTCTCACTTGATCAAGAAGTGAGCATATTTCAGTTCAGTAAACCTACCTGCAAATACATATGAATTCAATCATATTTTACTCACCATCTCCAGTGTTACGTTTTTGTTTTTGTGCTTGCCATCTGGTTAAAGCCCAATGATGAAGCCCAATTAGTAACAACCCACTTAACCTTTGAGTGTGACCCGTTTTCTGGCCCCAGTGTGCAATCTCGTGTTTCTGTTA